AGCATAGGAGGCAGGGAGCTGCCTAAACTAGTCAATGGGAGATGCCAATGACAGGGGGTGTGTCCTAAGACCCACCCCTCTCATGAAGATCAGTGCTTAAATCTGTGCTGTAGGGAGATACCTATCTTTGCTAGCCATCCACATCCAGGAACTCCTCTCCTGGAGACAAACAGCTTAGGCACCTTATGCTCAAATAAATTGGTTATTTTATACCTATATATATATATATATATATATATATATATATATATCTAAGGTGCCACTAGTACTCCTTTTCTTTTAGGCACCTAGGGTATTTCTTGCAATGAATTAGGCAGACCTTTATCTCCATATAAAATGGTCAGGGAGAGCAAAACCTCTTTTATAACCTTTAGAGCAGTGGTTAGGGTACTCACCTGGGATGTGGGAGACCCACAGTTCAAGTCACTCCTCTGCCTGAGAAGGGATTTGAACAGGAATTGCCACGGCTCAGGTAAGTGCTTTAACTGCTGAACTGTAGAGTGATTCTCACTCTCTGTAGCCTAATGACTATTTAATTATTAAATGACTTAACTGAAATAGAACAGCTTCAATAGGAGAAACAGAGGGACCCACATCAGAATATCCCACAATCTAGTAATTAAAGCACGGCAGATCCCAGTTTAAATTCCCTCTCTTCATAAGCAAAGTACCTTTATGAATCTGGGCCCCCTAAACTAGTTATAGTAGCTAAATAGAAGAACTCTGCACTCCTATGCAAAAGATTAGAAACTGCCCTTCATATTTGCGTCAGGAAGGAGAAATTAAAGAGAGCTAGAATGGTTAGAAAATATGAGCAGAAAAGTTTATCAGGCTTGGAAAATAAAATACAAGCTAATATTTCTGAAGAAAAATAATCCAGAAGTCATTCAAAACAGCAGAAGAAACCTGGAAAGAGGAAAGCTAAAAAGCCCAGGAGCTATTTCAAACACATAACTATCTGTTCAGAATGCAATTTAGAAAGAAAGAAAGGCAATGCCATTTTGGGGACCTTGACTAAGACTAAATGGAGCCATGTTTTTGCTTTGGCCATGATCTGGATGAAACTAGGACATGCCCAGGAGCAAGTGGTCAGAAGGGTAATCTAGGCCTTAATGCAGATGCTCTTTGGAGAAGACATCCTCATTGTCCAGTAAGAGTTTGCAAGTGTAGTAGTGCTGTGAAGACAGAACACTGTTTACTTTAACAGCCACATTTCTCTTCCGCCACCCAACCACATTTCTTTAAGTACAGTTCCTTGCATAAGACTGATATTCCCTGCCCTCCCTTATAAAACGTTAAAATCAGACAAGAACTGAGCAATGCTAATGTGGTCTTTTATTCAGTTCAAATTAAAAAAAATAAAAATCTTTAAATACAGACCCTGCTAATTTCAGTCTCTTATGCCTCTCCCTTTTCCAGAGGTGCTGTCTTTTAGTTGCTGCGGGGAGTGCTTGACTCCTGCTTTGCTCCAAGCTCTTGCCTCTTCCCACCCACCCCCACCTTTCTGCTCCCCACTCCTACTCCTCTAGCACTTCTTGCACACCCCTGAACAGCTGATCACAGTCAGTGTGAGGCACCTAGAGGGAGGAGGAGGAGCTGATGGGTGAGGCCCACTGGGGGGTGGGAGGCACGGGGGGGAGAGGGAGCTGGTTGGGGGGCACTGCTGGTAGGTGCGGAGCAGCCACTATTTTCCCCCCCCATGGGTGCTCCAGCCCCAAAGCATCCAGGGAGTCTGTGCCTATATCATTTTCCAAGCTCATATAGTGCATTTCCAACATATTTATTTCTCAGTGGTGTAAATAATCCTTGTAGTCTTTGGAATTTAGCTTTGAATTCCTCTCTTTCCCTACTCATTTGTGTGTGATCAGCAAGATAAATAGATGGAAGAATTTGGCAAGCTTTATCTAATTCAGTTTGGAGAGAAGTTTAGTTAGACTACCTGTCTTTTGTTTTATTAAAAAAAGGTGTTTGTGTCCTCAAGGAAGTCAAGATAGACTTTCATGCAACAAATAGGCACGGTCATGAATATAGACCACTTTTAAATTTGTTGTCCAAATATTTAATAACTTAGTTTGTAAACATACAAAAATGCATGGTATAGAAATCTGTATTAAAATGGAAAGTAATATTAAAGACAAGATGTGATTCTTTATTCTGCTACAAATCTGGTTCTACACAGGCACAACAGTAAAAAGTTGCTTTTGTCTAACTTGCCAGTATCACTATTCCACACAATTCAATTTCTAAAACAATTTGAGTATTTAATTGCTCCATTGTTTAATGCTGTAATTCTTACAGATGACTGAATAAAACATCTGAGATTTACCTCAACAGCCAACTCTCAGTCACCATCTATTTAAAACAATATAAATCAAAAAGGTGTTCACTGAGATTTATCAGAACAGTCATACCAGACACAGGCTTCTGGGGTTCTTCTAACAAATTTCAATATCCTGGCATGCAGGGATGTTTCACAAAGTATTCATTAATGTTTCTGGCATTATTGTCTCAGGTTGCCATAATGTGACAGTTTTAGACTCTGACTTTAAGGCCACAAGGGACAAATCATGATCTATTCTGACCTGCACACTGCAGAACATAGAACTTCACCCACCAACTCCTGAAATATAACCCCTCAACTAAGGCTGAGTTTCTGAAGTCCTCAAATCATGGTTTAAACACTTCAAGTTATAGAGAATTCACCATTTAAACTAGTTTAAAACTGTAAGTGGCCCATGCTGCAGAGGAAGGTGAAAAAACACCAGGGTCTGTGTCAATCTGACCCAGGGGGAAATTCCTTTCCAACTGCAAATATGGCAATCAATTAGACCCTGCATTTGTGGGCAAGACCCACCAGTCAGATACCTGGGAAAGAATTCCCTGTAATAACTGGGAGCCCTCCCCTTCTAGTGTCCCAAATCCAGCTGTTGGGGATTTTTGCTACTGGCAAAATGGGCCACATGCCATTGCAGGCAATCCTATCATACCATCCCTTCCATAAACTTATCAAGCTCAGCCTTGAAGCCTGTTAAGTTTTTTGTCCCCACTGCTCCTCTTGGAAGGCTATTCCAGAACTTTACTCCTGTGATGGTTAGAAACCTTCGCCTAATTTTGAGCCTAAAGTTGTTGGCCAGTTCATATGCATTTGTTCTTGTGCTTAACTGAAATAACTCCTCTCCCTCCCTGGTACTGACCCCTGCAATATACTTAGAGCAATCATATCTCCCCTCAGCCTTCTTTTGGTTAAGCTAAACAAGCCAAGCTCTGAGTCTCCTCTGATAAAGCAGATTTTCCATTCCTCTGATCATCCTAGTAGCCCTTCTCTGCACCTCTTCCAGTTTGAACTCATCTCTTCCTTAAATATAGGAAACCAGAATTGCACATGGTATTCCCAATGTTTCACCAGTGCCTTGTATAATGGTACGAACATTTCCCCGTCTCTACTGGGAATAGGGTTACTGCAAATTGCTCCAACTGCACAGGTCTGCCAGTCTTCACTTGGAGAAGCTGCTATTAATGCTAGTTTAATGTTGCTGGACAAAAAGGCATCAATAACCAAAGCATCTTTTCTCCACTCATGTTCCAATATCAGCACAAACATTATCAGCTACACAAAGTCTGACTAGAGTCTGTAACAGCAATTTAAGTATCAAGTGTCACCCCAAAATTTGTGGTTCATCTGGTTACTTGTTTTTATTTTACTTTTGTCACCTATGCACATGTTTAACAACGGTCCCCAAAACTCTTAAATGCAGTCACCTAAAACACAAAACAATAGGCTTCAATTACAAACACCAATGTAGGCTCTTCTAGAAATCCTTCAACTGACCATGTGATGAGACTCTGTACCAACCATCTCCCTGAAGGCTCATAAAAAGTGGACTTTGGGGTATGCCCAGGCTGACAAACCCAGGCTCTGGAAGAATGAGGAAGGAAGTACATTCTAGAGGCCAGGCCCTCTCCCAGAGAATATTCTGCAAGCAGCCGCCTCTCATTTTCAGATCAATTAAGTGCCACTTGCACATGCCTACTGATCTGAACTGCACAGATAGTCTCTCAAGTAAGGTTCCAGGTCCCAAACTATTTAGTTTGAAAGGTTAAACCCATCACCTTGCAGTTCATCTGGAATCCAGTGCAACTCTGAGTATTGGTGCTGTGCTCCCTGCACTATGCTCAAAGGAGCAGACACACTCTGCACAACCTTGAGTTTGAATGGTTCCAGAGTGTACCCACAACATGGACTGCATTACAATCATATTGTCCTGAGGTGACAAAAGGAAAGGATGATGATAGCAAAAGCTGCATCAGAAGAAGAGCTTGAACTCTTCTAGCCACTTCTAGATTTAAAAAACAAAAAAAACACCTTTTGGCACTGCTACTTGATCTTTTAAAAGCAGCTCTTGTTCCAACCACCTTCAATATTGTGAAACTAGGTCAAATGGTGGATGCAACCCCTCTTTCAGTAGCACATACATGACTTGCCAATTTTTTCCCCATTGCTTTCAGCCTATTTTCATCTGGTCTTATTATCAAGACTAAGCCTCAGTCCGGTAACCCTCACCCATTCGGTTTTCATACAGGACTTATTTGCTCCATTGCACAAGCAAAGCATGATCTGATTTGAATACCTGCAGCATTCTCATTACATATCAGAATATTTTCTTTTCCGTATGTCTAATTCCATTTAGTTGTAATCTTCCATTTTAAATTATTCTGTTTATATGAAGACGTTCCAAAATGGAAAGCTGGATTATTCCATATTTGAAGTTACCCTCATTCTTGATCACAGATGGCCACTAAGTCAGAATCTTACTGCTGACTGACCAGGACAACTAGTCTCTGGACAGACAGCAATGCAGTCCTGTGGACTCCTACCAGAAAGAGTACTGCAGCTCAAAGAGTCTGTCGGACTCTTAATAATGTCGCATGTGATTTGTTTAGCTGAGGCTGACCTGAAGTTTCCATTTCTTGACTTGAAATTTCCAGTTCAGAAGACCAAGTGATGCAACTGCATCAAGCTTCCAGTTTAATTAGGAAACAAAATCTGCTGATCAGAATAGTAAGTACATGCCACAAGTTTAAAGTTGAATTTACTACAGAACATACATGAGCAACAAAATAATGTGCTATCAACTGTATTTATGTGCTGCAAACATATTTAACACACATTCACTTTTTTTAAATGTAAACTTACCTATAAGTTCTGCTTAGTCAACGTTAACTTCCCTGCACAAAACTAAGATTTTAGACTCTGTTACTAGAGATATTTTCCTACAATAAGAGACGGTAAATCCAGATTTATGGAAATATTTCAGTGATACTACTCTTTTATTAATAGAATGATGAAGATGTTCTCCAATAATTAACAAAAGGGAGTAAAAATCAGGCTTCTAACCTACTTGATACAACTGGAATTTATCAGTTTGATGACACTACTCATGGCTAACAATATGCTTGCTGACTGTAATTTTATGTACTCTACGTAGATAATGATATAATTGATTCCATGTGCACACCAATGGCATCATTGATTTTATAGAGAAAAGTGTAAACATAGGGTTTACACTTCTTCCAGTAGTCTCCTCAGTTAGCATTTTCATGTGTGTTTCCACATGGCCGAGTTTATATACAGTATGTAGCTTCTGCTGTTGAACAGTAGGAAAAGTCTGAGGTTGTTACATAGCTAAGGATATGTCACAATGTTCTGCCTGAATAGAGCTAAATACACTTTTACTCGGATTACCACCTTGCAAGAGTTTGTTCTTTCATATATTTAGAACAAAAGTTACATAAATAAAAAAAGCTTTCAGTGTGATCCAAAAAAAGAGGAAGATATTGAAAAATATTCTTGACAGGACCATGAGAATACATACCTTACTTAAACATTGACACTTAATTACTTGTGCAAGATAGGAAGGCTTATTTGGATCAAGTAAAGTGTGTCTTTTAAGTATTTAAACAGTTTTGCTCAAACTGTTTCAAGAACAGCTGCCATTTCCTTGAAATGTCTGAAGAAGTCCTGAAAAAGAAGAGGCAATATTAAACTGCACTTTAACAATTTGCATTGTAGTTAAAGCCAACAGCTTCTTGTTGGAATTTTTTCCCTATGTTTACAAGTAGCACCCAAGATTATAGTATCTAAAATATGAGAACTTTATTCCAGTTTGCTTTATGCATTAGTCAGCACTTTGTATAAAGTCACTTTCATTATAGTCTGATGCCATATTTGTGTGGTTTTGTCTTATGCCTTTGGGAACAGGAGAGAAAAAAATGTTTTAGAAGTGGGAAAATGTGGTTGTAAGACCACAGAAATTGATAGGAGTAATACCTGAAAGTATTTTTATTCCCAGTTTGAAATAACCTTGATATTCAGTTTACAGTGTCCCTTTCACATAGCAATTGAACAGCAATATATTAAATAGTTTCCAATCTACAGAGTTGAGACTCGAGCAGATCTAGATTCAGAAAAATCACCAGTCATCCCTTGCCTTTTTAATACATTTTTCACTAAAGGGATTTATCGATAGTTAGCCTTGTAGAAGTTTAGTTTAAAAACAAAGGAGATGTAATGACCCTTTAATATAACTGAACTGATAGCTAAACAAAAGCTCTCACCACCACCCAGGTTTTCAGCTGTAGGCAAAGGAATTAAGGACCACTATGATAAGATTGCAGTGGGGGGGGGGTGGGAGGAAGGAGGAGAATAGTAAAATTGTACTGGGGTGCAGGTATGCTGTGACTGAACAGAAGATATGGCAATAGAAGAACACAGTGGGGCACCAGAGCTGGAACATTTCAGGGGGGAGGGAATCCACCAATAAGCCAAAATAAAACCTTCCTTTAATGGCTGTTACAGTAGGTCCACAAATGCCAGCAAAAAGGAGCGTACAACATTTTATATGAAGAGCCAAGATTTTTCAGCCTTAGAGGAATAGAATCAACTTGATGACTAGACATTTAAAAACAATGTTTCAGGTATTACACCTCCCCAGAGAACCCCAGCCAATTTTTGTGGCTTTGCAGCCATATTTTTTTACTACTCTGTTACTTGGTTGTTGCATGAAAGACTCACACAAATCAAGAAAGAGAATGTGACTGACTACCTGATTATATGGGAGACCACAGTGAAACCAACTACACAAAGTAAACACCCCCTCCCCTTGGATTTTTTTTCATTTATAGCACTAGTAACATCCTCCTACCTCAGAGTGAAGTGCTATTTTTTAAATGGCATTGTTCCTAGTGATTTGTGCTTGTTTACTTTTATAAATGTAAGCCTGTAAAATATAAGCTATATAATCACACTGGGAGGTCGCTCTGTTCAGCATTAGGAAGTCTCTTCCAGCAAGCTCAACCTATTGGTAGTCTACTTTCACCTCTCCACGTTTATTGTGTGGGGAAGGGAGAGCAGCAGCAGCAGCGACTTAATTAGCAGCTGCTGTTTAACTATGTAGTCAGAAATGGTTCCAAAAGTTAGTGTACATTCAGCTATGATGATTCAAGTGATTTGGAGATTCGTGTTTATTTTGAAGAAGCTAGGAGAGTTGCACAATTTTTTTTTTTAAATTGACAATTCCACTTCATGAGGAATATGTACAAATCAGTTATGTTTAAATTTGGGACCGTCTCACCAGATTAAACTCTCTGAAAGAGCAGCTAGCCCTCTGCCTCTTTAAGTACCATAAAAGAACCCAGAAAGCTCTTATTAGGCCCAAGACTAAAGAAATGCAAAACAATTTTTAAGGTTAAGGATTTATCATACATTAGCTCCTTACCCATTTGACCCTGGCCATTTCACATGATCTCACAGAACCCTCCAAACTCCCAGCAATCTGACTTCTGGCACCGGCTATTGCTCTAAGTCAGGGGTTCCCAAACTTGGTTCAGGGCTTGTTCAGGGTAAGCCCCTGACGGGCCGTGAGACGCTTTGTTTACCTAAGCGTCCGCAGGTATGGCTACTTGTGGCTCCCAGTGACCGGCCAATGGGAGCTACGGGAAGTGGTGGCCCACCCCACGCCACTTCCCGCAGCTCCCATTGGCCGGGAACGAAGAACCGCGGCCACTGGGAGCTGCGAGCAGCTGGTTACCTGAGCATCCACAGGTACAAAGTGTCTCACCGCCTGCCAGGGGCTTACCCTGAACAAGCCACGAACCAAGTTCAGGAACCCCTGCTCTAAGCATTAAGGATTTTTTTTCCTGGAAGTTTGGTTTCAGTCTTTTATTCAAATTTTAGTTTTTAAGGCTGGAGTGGTCCCACAGACCTCTTGAGCTTCGAACACACTCAGTGATTGCAGGACAGGCAGCTGGGTAGCAAACTAGACAGATCATCAAGCGAGTTAACATACTAAGAGATCTAGTAGTCTTTGGTTACAATTTTACTCATTGAAACAGGATAGTTTTGATAAGGGCAAAGCAATTTTAAACTTGGAATTCTTAAGTCAGAGTTCTTATTAAATTAACAATGTTTGGGTTCAGTTGCTTAAGCAAATAGATTTTTAATCTGAACCATATGTAGATGTCTCATCTTTCTATTACCACATATGTAATTAAATGTCTCAAATGTGCTTTCGTAGATGTAAACATTTGCATATCTATTAAGAAAGTACTGTTGTATGCAACTCTTTTTGAGAAGTAACACTTTTATGAAACTGGATTACAAACCTGGAACTGTGGGATTGTCATTTCAAAAGACCTGCTCATTATCTGGCCCGACGGCTCTGCCACTTTTAGTGTCATTGTAACATAAGGATACTTAAGAGACCTGCAGCTGTCAGAGCTCACTGCCATTCCCAGTTTCCACTGAATATCTATAATCTGAAGAAAAGAGAGCAACCAAACCGTTTTTGAACACTTCCAATCAAGCCTACTGACACTCAACTATACTATCAGTAATTAAGGCTATGTTTCGTGATGGGTAAAAGTCATGGACAGTAAACAAAAATTCACGGCCAGTGACCTGTCTATGACTTGTACTATATACCCCTGACAAAAAAATTTGTAAAGGGGGGGGGGGGGAGAGAGAGAGGAGGAGGTGTGCAGTGTGTGTCCCAGGACCCCTGCTAGTGCTAGCTGGGGGGAGGGGGGGCGCAGTTGGTGGGGCTGGCAAGCTTCTTACCTGGAAGCAGCAACACCAGACTCCCTCAGCTCCTAGGCAGAGCCAGGCAGCTCTGTGCGCTGCCTCCGCCCCGAGTGCCGGTTCTGCAGCTCCCATTGGCTGGGAACTGTGGCCAATGGGAGCAGCGGGGGCAGTGCCTGCAGGCAGTGCACAGAGCTGCCAGGCCACTCCTCCTGAGGGGTGTTGCCAGCTCCAGGGAGCTCACACCCCCCTACCTGCCCAGAGCCCTCACCCCCTCCTGCACACTAACACCCAGCCCTGAGTCCCCTCCCACACCTAAACTGCTGCTGCTGTTGGTGGGAGGCGGTGGCCCGATGCTGCCCCAGCAGTGGCTGGCCTGAGGGCCGCCTGAGCTGTTCAAAAGTCACAGAATCCATGACTAACTTGCAGCCTTATCAGTAATACATTAGCCCACCATCCTCTAGCTCACCCAGAAGCTGTGGGCTTGATGTAGGAGCTATTGAGTAAAATTCTGTGGTCTGTTTATTGCTGGAGGTCAGACTAACAATTCCTTGTGGCCTAAAGCAGTGATTCTTAACCTTTCCATACTAATGTACCCCTTTTGGGAGATTGATTTGTCTTGTGTACCCCCGAGTTTCACCTCACTTTAAAAAAAAAAAATCTACCTGCTTAGAAAAATCAGACAAAGGTGTCACAGCACACTATTACAGGAAAAAATGCTTACTTTCTCACTTTTACCATATAATAAAATTCATTGAATATAAATATTGTACTTACATTTCAGTGTATAGTATACAGAGCAATATAAACAAGTCATTGCAGGAAGAAATTTTAGTTTGCACTGACTTGCTAGTGCTTTTTATGTAGCGTGTTGTAAAACTAGGCAAACATTTAGATGAGTTGATGTACCCTCTGGAAGATGTCTGCGTACTCCAAGGGTACATGTACCTCCAGTTGAGACATCACTGGCCTCAAATATCTATTAAACTATAGCTAAAACTGCAGAAAATGGAATATAACGTTAAGAAATGTTGGATCATAAAGAGTCACCTACTAGATGCTCTAAACAAGACTAAATTCTTCTCTATCCTGACCCCTTAAATCAGTGGTTCTCAACCAGAGGTACACAGAGGTCTTCCAGGGGGTACATCAACTCATCTAAATATTTTCTTAGTTTTACAACAGGCTACATAAAAAGCAGTAGCAAGTCAATACAAAACTAAAAATTTCACACACACGACTTGTTTATACTGCTCTATATAGTATACACCGAAATACAAGTACAATGTTTACTGTAAATAAATCTTCTCCTTGGGCTGCCACCTTGACATGGTGGAGAAGCTTGCGTATACTTAAGACCCTAAGACTGATGCTGTTGGGAGTCCTGTACTTCTAGTAGGGTCACTCTTTGCAGTAAGGTCGAAGGCAAGGTACCAGACAAAGTGCAGCCCAACTCAACACAACCCAGTATAAGACCTCAATGGCAGAGCAGGCAGATGAAGCAGGATCACCTCTCAATGGCTGCAACAGAGGAGAAACCCCTGGTTGTCTCGGACTTCCTTGCCACAAGACACAGGTGCCTCTTCTGCCAAGATTTGTGTGGCTGTTGGTGCACTATGGCTCCCCCAACATTAAACTACTCAAATGCAGGCTTCTCTCACAGGAAGAGCTTCCCCCCACCCCCAATATTTATATTCCAATTTTTTATTTATATAGTTAAAAATGAGAAAAAGCAATTTTTCAGTAATAGTGTGCTGTGACACTTTTGTATTTTTATGTCTGATTTTGTAAGCAAGTAGTTTGTGAGGTGAAACTTGGGGATACTCAAGACAAATCTGACTCCTGAAAGGTATACGGGTAGTCTAGAAAGGTTGAGAGCCACTGCCTTAAATAAACCTGGATCTCAACTGCAGCTCCCCTTCCTCCCCCAAAAAAGTTGTTGTTCTCAAGTACTTTGTAGCCATGCAAACATAGCTTCAAATTACTATATAGAACACAATTTCAGGAAAAAAAGAGGCCCTGGAGAATTCAATAAGTCAGTGGGAGAGGCAAATACATCATCCATTTCTTCTACCGTTCGGTAGCATTTATGGGTCCATTTTCATTTTAAGACTCTACCAGCCAGTCAATACAACCAGGATTTAGGCACAGGTTTCCAGCTTGGCATTAAGCAGTTACATTTCACTTGCCCAGACAACAGGCTTTTTCCTGGCATAGCAGAGATCATCATCCGTCAGTAGTCATAATTATAAATTTACAATTGCAAATTTTGGTGAAGTTTGATTTGACTGAAGTTTCGTAGATAAACACAAATTCAAGAAAAAACATTTTCAACTGTTTGTTGTTACTTGCTAGGCAATTACTATGAAGTCAGATTGTTATTTGAAAGAGGATTAGATACAGATATTCAAAAGCATGGTTCTGCTGACAACTCCAGGGTTCTAGTGTCACTCAAGCTTCACTGATTTTATTTTTGATCCTTAACAAAAAGGGTTAAGGACACGTCTAGGTCTTCACAATTGTGTTGCAATGAAATGTTTCTTCAACAACATAAGCTCCAATAATTTAGCAGATACACATGACTGAAAGGCACTGGCATTAAATCCTAAGGGTTTTTTTTAAATGAACACACACAATCAAAGGTTAAGTCCTTAAAGAAGGGTAAGAGCAAAACCTACTTAAGGGTTGCTTATGGTGAGCTCTTAGTGCTCTGTTGTTGTTGTTTGTAAGTATACAAGCAGGAACAGATTTTTCTGCTGCCAGTGCAATTTTTCATGGCAGGAGGATTTTACCCACCCATCTTTAATTGATAAAGAAAATCAGGGTAACATCACTCCTAAGCCCCTGATAAGAGGCACAAGACTGTACTAATGCCTATATGAAACCTTTTTGCTATGGTTGTATTCTTTGTAATCTTCATCAAGGATTTAGGAGCTAGAAGCATTCTTAGCTAACTCTAGACTTTCAGAAACACATGTTGAATTTTTTCAAATACTCAACTTGATCTATTCATGCATTAAAAGAAGCAGAATTACTGTTTTATTTTTGTGCATGAAAGTTCATAACATGACCGTATCAGTTTTATATAAAGATCATGCATAAGTATTAATGTAAGAATTCACATCAGAATGTTTTGCTTAAGTACATGAATGTCAGAGCCTTATTGTGCTATACACTAAGTAAAATGTTAAACTCATGGAAGTTAAAATATTAAAGCTCCATTTTAACTCACTAACAACGATGAGAAGCGTAGTTTGAACAGACTGTCACTTGTATGAATAAGCAGACAAACTTTTTTTTTTGTAATTAAAAGTGTGTTTAGTGCCAGTCACTTCTTTCAAGGTATAAAACCTATATACAACTTTAAGTAGAAATCTATGTTGTCAGAATGAAAATGCAGTATTAATGGAAGTCTTCTAAACTTGTTAGAAAAATATTTGAACCACCTAGCTCTATATGTTTAAGTATTTGTAAGTATTAAGGGGAAAGTAGTATTAGCCAGGTCTAATCACAATGGGCAGGCATCCAACAGTCCATTAAATATATTGTTTGCCACTTTTGCAGCAGCATCCACCATGAAGTAGACATTTTTGGAAAGTTAATGCGATTGAATCAGAAGTCTGAGCTAGTTACCTGTCCCACTGTTGCCATATTTCTAGCATCTTCTGACATAATGATAGATTTGCCCTGTTCTTTCCATATATGGCGAATAACCTGAACTGCATGTTTTGGCAGCATTCTGATTACATTACCCAGACCAGTGGAGAGTTCTTCTGCAGAGAGGTTGTTTTTGGCTGCTGTGCTGTAGATAAATTTAAAACAAACAATTTGTAGGTTTTTGTAAGAGTGATGTTCAAGAAATCCAGGGTTTTTTTAAAATAGGCAAACATTTCCATTAGTGTTCTGTTCATGAATATTATTTTACATAGTAATTGTGTAATGCAACCTACATACTCTTTTCGCAAAGGATTTTACTTAATTTCCCCCAAAGTAACTGTGCTAAGAATTTGCATGCAAGGTCCCCACAAGGGAGCAACTTCCTTTTATTTATGTATACCCCATCTATTTAATATTCATAAATATTCTAAGTGGAAAAACAGATTAGTTTCTGATTTATGAATTTAAAAAATTGAGTTAATACAAGTTTGCAAGCCCCTTTAGATCCTCTCAAGTACTCAAAGTCAAAATTTTCTGGCTCCTCAGCCTTAATTTATACCTTTCCACCTTTTATAGCCCCCCCCCCTTTTTTATTCTTTAAAGAAAGAATAAAATTAAGAGGTATAGGCAGGATGGGTTCTGGCTTACCTGAATAAAAAGGAAACAACATTGATTATCTTTGCTAGGTCAGCAACGTTCATTTCAACTCCAGCTGTTTGAAATCTCTAGAAACACAAACAAATGTAAGTCTTAGAAACATTCTGTAATTCACGTGACGTTATATACAATGAATGTAAGTGATTTGCTTTTGGATGACCACTAATCATAACTTACCTGGCATAGTTCTACTGTATTTACACCTGGGATCTGACAGTGAAGATGCTGAATAATTCGCTCACACTACAAAGAAAAAGTTACATGGACAATAACTAGTGAAATTATTAAAATATCATGCTTTAAAAATATCTGTACAGAGGGTGTACACCTAGAGTCATGTGGTTTCAATACACAGTGGCCAAGCGAAGAAGCCTATTGTGGCAATATACAAATAGTGTGCTACACCACTTTACACATATACTAGGTGAAGAGGAAAAGGATGTATTAAGTCAGTGGCTGCTGCTAAAACTACATTTAAATACCATCAAACCCACAAGAGTGGAAAAAAAAAAAATGTTCAAACCACTAGCCTACCTGCTTTGCACTGCTTACAACACAGCTGCAACTAGTGATACAATTCAGCACTAAGGGTGCATTTTCCAATGATTTAATAGAAAACATGAAAGGGATTGTTTGCCAGCCTTGCTGTTCCAGTGTGTACTAGTCAAAAGCAAAATCAGTATTTTCTAAAAATACAAAATTGGCTTAGTCTCACTAATCACTAGAGGATGTGGTCCACTAAGGCAAAGGTGGGGGACATTACTATTACCCTATCAGGGAAATTTGCACTCAAACAGCTAGTAACATAACCATCACTTCAAACATTTTACAATACACAAAAGCATAAAAGCTAAATATAGAAATATTACTTACTAGCTCAGCAAATAGATCCTTAGGTATTAGTTTAATAATATCAGCAGTACTACCAAAATCTAAAAAAAAAAAAAAAAAAAAAATTAGCTGTGTGCCCTTAAATAAAAAAAAAAAAATATCCTCTCAGCTCATCCCCTCCACACGGACAGTGTCTGCATTTTAAACAAAATCTTTGGTCAAGATCCAGGAGTTTATTGCCAGATTTCTGCTTCATGAACAAAAACTAAACCTATTAAAAATACCTAATGACCACATTAAAGGTAAATATTAATCACAATTGAATCCATAGAGACATAGATTTTAAGGTCAGAAAGAACCATTATGATCTCTAGACTGACTTCCTGCATAACTCTCAGAACATTATCTGGTATTTCTACATTAAGTCAATATCTTATATTTGAGCTACAGCACTTTTTTTTTTTTTTTTTTTTTTAAAGTCAGTCCTAATTGAAAGACTTCAAGTGACTGAGAATCACCTCCCCAGATAAGTTGTTCTAAGGGTTAGTTACACTCACTGTTAAAAGAAAAGGATGACTTGTGGCACCTTAGAGACTAACAAATTTATTAGAGCATAAGCTTTCGTGAGCTACAGCTCACTTCATTGGATGCATACAGTGGAAAAATATAGTGGGGAGATTTTATACACACAGAGAACATGAAACAATGGGTGTTACCATACAGACTGTAACAGGAGTCAGGTTTCAGAGTAACAGCCATGTTAGTCTGTATTCGCAAAAAGAAAAAGGAGTACTTGTGGCACCTTAGAGACTAACCAATTTATTTGAGCATAAGCTTTCGTGAGCTACACTCTGATGAAGTGAACTGTAGCTCACGAAAGCTTATGCTCAAATAAATTGGTTAGTCTCTAAGGTGCCACAAGTACTCCTTTTCTTTTTGTAACAAGAGTGACCAGGAAAGGTGAGCTATTACCAGCAGGAGAGCAAGGATGGGTGGGAACCTTTTGGAGTGATAATCAAGGTGGGCCATTTCCAGCACTTTACAAGAACAGTAGGAGGGGAAATAAACAAGGAGAAATAGCTTTACTTTGTGTAATGACACATCCACTCCCAGTCTTTAGTCAAGCCTAAATTAACTGTATCCAGTTTGCAACCTAATTCCAATTCAGCAGTCTCTCCTTAGAGTCTGTTTTTTTGTTGAAGAATTGCCACTTTTAGCTCTATAATCGAGTGACCAAAGAGACTGAAGTGTTCTCAGACTGGTTTTTGAATGTTATAATTCTTGACATCTGATTTGTGTCCATTTATTCTTTTACGTAGAGACTGTCTAGTTTGGCCAATGTACATGGCAGAGGGGCATTGCTGGCACATGATGGCATATATCACATTGGTAGATGTGCAGGTGAATGAGTCTCTGATAGTGTGGCTGATGTGATTAGGCTCTATGATGGAAACCCTATCCCGGAAACCTACTGACCGCTATACTTACCTATATGCCTCTAGCTTTCATCCAGATCACACCACACGATCCATTGTCTACAGCCAAGCTCCAGGATACAACCACATTTGCTCCAAACCCTCAGACAGAGACAAACACCTACAAGATCTCTATCTTACAACTACAATACCCACTTGCTGAAGTGAAGAAACAGATGGACAGAGCCAGAAGAGTACCCAGAAGTTACGTACTACAAGCCAGGCCCAACAAAGAAAATAACAGAACGCCACTAGCCATCACCTTCAGCCCCCAACTAAAACCTCTCCAACGCATCATCAAGGATCTACAACCTATCCTGAAGGACAACCCATCAATCTCACAAATCTCGAGAGACAGACCAGTCCTTGCTTACAGACAGCCCCCCCTACCTGAAGCAAATACTCACCAGCAACCACACACCACACAACAAAAATACTAACCCATGAACCTATCCTTGCAACAAAGCCCACTGCCAACTGTGTCAACGTATCTATTCAGAGGACACCATCATAGGGCCTAATCACATCAACCACACTACCAGAGGCTCGTTCACCTGCACCTCTACCAATATGATATATGCCATCATGTGCCAGCAGTGCCGCTCTGCCATGTACATTGGCCAAACTGGACAGTCTCTATGTAAAAGAATAAATGGACACAAATCAGACATCAGGAATTATAATGTTCAAAAACCAGTCGGAGAACACTTCAATCTCTTTGGTCACTCGATTACAGACCTAAAAGTGGCAATTCTTCAACAAAAAAAACTTCAAAAACAGACTCCAAGGAGAGATTGCTAAATTGGAATTAAGTTGCAAACTGGATACAATTAATTTAGGCTTGAATAAAGACTGGGAGTGGATGTGTCATTACACAAAGTAAAACTATTTCCCCTTGTTTATTTCCCCTTCTACTGTTCTTGTAAAGTGCTGGAAACGGCCCACCTTGATTATCACTCCAAAAGGTTTCCCCCCATCCCTGCTCTCCTGCTGGTAATAGATCACCTTTCCTGGTCACTCTTGTTACAGTCTGTATGGTAACACCCATTGTTTTATGTTCTTGTGTATATAAATCTCCCCACTATATTTTCCACTGCATGCATCCAATGAAGTGAGCTGTAGCTCATGAAAGCTGCTGCTCTAATAAATGTTAGCCTTTAAGGTGCCACATGTACTCGTTTTCTTTTTGGGGATACAGACTAACCCAGCTGCTATTCTGAAACGACTCACTGTTAAAAACCTGAATCCAAAAATGTTCAGTTTCTTCCAAGAAGTGATAGCCACATAACGGCAGGCCTTGGCCCTCTCTTAAGGTGTCAGCAAAGCTCAGAGATAGTCTGTGTGTGTGTGTACACGCAACTCCAGACCCATCTCCACCTTGTGTCCCACCACCACCACCTCCATGTACCACCCTAACTCCCTCTCCATTGCCCCCATATAGCACCCCCGTGCCCTGAGCTCCCCTTCCCTGTTGCCTCACCCACTCCTCCCCCCCATGCCCCATCAATCTCTTCCTAGCCAACACCCCACCTCCACCCGTCCATCCATGGGCCCCACAGCCCCGCCCTCTCACCAAAGGACTCCAAGGCCGGCGCGCCCACCACGGCAGCTCCGGCAGCCATCCTCCCGCCAGCCACCCGGTGACCCCGTCAGGCTGCTTCCGCTAACAACACCCCCGAGCGGCCACCCTCATTGGTTAGCAACTACAGACCCACCCTCCGCTGTCCAATCATCAGTCGGCTACCTTCCGCCGCACTTCACGCTTATTGGCTGCTGGGCCCTTGGGCCGCCCCGCTCCCGAGCTCTCACTGGTTGCTCATTATGGCGTTGAAATCAAGCGCCAGGCGGTGGGGTCGGCGCCAAGCACGCGACTCCGTCGGAGGCGATCGCGCGGAGCTAGGCGCCCAGGGCGCTTGTCCGGCCCCAGCGGTTTGTGTGCGTCTAGCTCAGCGAGCCGCTGGCTCAGCCTGTCTCGCGCGGCGCGTGGCCTGAACTTCCTCGCGGGCTGCCGCTCTGTGTCCTTGATCTGTGACGTCTTCCCTTTCCGGCGGCGTTCCCGGAGTGAAAGGGCATTGCCCCCCCCCCCCCCGTTTAAAACCTGTTGGATGAGACTCCAGATTTCAGTCGGTACAGTCACTAAATCAAAAGGGATCCGAGAGGTACTTAGTTGCATCCGATGAAGTGAGCTGTAGCTCAGGAAAGCTTATGCTCAAATAAATTGGTTAGTTTCTAACGTGCCACTAGTACTCCTTTTTGCGAATACAGACTAACATGGCTGCTACTCTGAAACCTAACTACATATACTATATGTAGTAGGGGCTGTCGCCGGGCTCCGTCCTGCAGCAGAATACTTTCTTCGTCTTGGTGTGGCAACGCGATGCTGTGTGGCACAGTGTGTGGCTGCTTGGTGTGGCAATGCGATGCTGTGTGGCACAGTCAAATCACAGCGCAGTTTGATGCACCGGGGGGCATGTTGGTGTCACAAAGCTGCATCAGTGTCAAACCGAATTTGGGACCCTTAAAATCAGTCACGCCTGGCCTACAGGATATACGGAAGACCTACCCCAATTCAGTACAGTATTCCCAAAACCAAGATTGGTCAGAACCCTGGTTATCTCCTCGCACCCATATGTCTAATATATGGAATAATCTGACATTAGATATTTCTCGTGATGCAGGTTTTATAGGTGTTCTATTTGCAGTTTGCTTTTAACATTACCATATTACCATGATCTCAAAATAATGAATTTGAGATGATTTGTTCATATTGAAAATGAACTGATTAGTAAAACTGTAAAAGACTGGCAGTGCTGGTTAATCTATACCCCACAGTTTTGCATCATATTTAACTAAAGCCCCTTTTAGTCAAATCAGGTATAATATTTTGCAACCCCAGTCCTAGGTTTGCAATTATTGTGCAACATTATGTACTTGTTTATTGTTATTAATAAGAAGCACTATACATATGAGTCAGATTCCTGTTTGGTCTTGCTCTCTCCTTTCACAATGATATAATAATTTGTGTTTATGTTATATGAAGGTGGAGATTACACACCTCCATAATTTCATGGTTATCAAAACACCTGCATTGTGCAATTTACTAAGGTTCTCTCATCATTCATTTTAGACCCATTTGGTCATTGGCTCAGATTGCTGATGAATTGTCACTTTCCCCATTTTTAGTTCAGATCTCTTTATTCTGACTGTGGCTAGGAGTCCTGAGTCCTCTGAAGTTTGTTATCCACTCCTGATGAGTGAGAAGGAGGAAATCACTTGTTCTGGAGTCAGAAAGAACCCCAAGTAGATGCTCTGCTCTCTTTGGCAAAGAGGCAGAATGGGATGTGAGTTTTTGCTGATGCTTCCTGTGGCCAAGGTAACAGGGAAGCGAGTGAAGACATGTCCTTGTCTTGATTCTTCATATTTATTTCCCTCTCACAAGACTAACAAGACTGGGAAGAAGTTCTCTGTCTACCTTCCTGCCATAGCCATCCACTTCATTTGATCCCACTATTTTTCTGTACTGTCACCTTTGAATTTGAAGTCAATGGGATTAATTCCGTGAATAAAATTAAGCATGTGTGTAAATCTTGGAAAGATCAAGGTGTAAAATAAAACAAAAAGGGAAAGGTATGTACAATGTGTAAGCAGATGACAGATTCATGTTATGTTTCGTTCTGTGAGTTTATTTTTAATATGTAAGTATGTTTTATTTCTGTTACAAACACTTAGTGATAGGTTTTTGGGGTGAACACTCAGGTTGAAGATCAGGGAGAGAAAGGGATCTGTGTGTATAGATGTGTGGTTCTGTGAGGGCATCAGTCACTGTGGTGTGTCAGTCACTGGGGTCTATGTGTATGGATGCCTGTGGTTCTGTGGGGGTCAGTCTCTGGAGTGCTTGTGTGGAAGATGTCAGTCACTGAGGTGGTTCTGTGTGAGTGTCAGTCAGAAGGTCTCTGCGTGTAGCAATGTGTGTAGTTGTGAGGGTGTCAGTCATTGGGGTCTCTGTGTATCTGAATGTAAGTCGGTTTGGGGGCATCTGTCTCTGGGGTGGTTGTGGGGCGTGTCAGTCTCTGGGGTCTGTGTGTGGCTGAATGTATGTAGTGCTGGGGGTGTCAGGGCATCAGTCTCTGGGGTGACTGTGGGGGGTGTCCGTCTCTGGGTCTGTGTATGTATGGGGCGGGGGGAAGAGGCTGTGAGGGGTTGCCTGTCTGTCTCCCCGCTGCGGGCTGCGCTGGGGTTGGGGTGCCTTGCAGGGTCACCGCGCCACCTGCCCGCGATCAACGCCGCTCGCTGGCTTGGGCTCTCAGCTTCGCTGCCCTTGCTGGGCCTGGCCGAGCGGAGCCGGCTGCCGCGGCGGGACAGAACAGAGCCCTCCCGCGGCCACGGCCCGCTCCGGCCGGCGCCGCGCACCGCCAGCGAGGCAGGAGGGGCGGGCGGACTCCGGCCGCGGCCCCGCCCCTGCCTGGGCGGGAGAGTCCATGTGCCGAGAGATGGGGGTGGGGGGAATGTCTTGGAGAATCTGGTCGGACAACAGGGCCCCCTCCCCCGGCCTGGCCGGCGCGGCGTCCGCCCGCTCGCCGGGCAGAGGCCCTGGGCCGGCGTCGCCCACTCCGGAGCCGGGGGAGGAGGAGGAGGCTGATGTTTTCCTTCCCCGCTCGCTGTGGTGCGGTCCCGGGGCGGGGCGGGGCGGCAGGCGCGTGAGGCGCTGTCAGTGCCCGGTCCTGCAGCTCCGCAGAAGGAAGCGCCCAGAGCCCGCAGCATGGAGCCGCACCGCTGGCTGCCCCTGGAGGCCAATCCCGACGTGAGTGCTTGAGGCGGGGGGAAGGGAGTGACTGGGGAGAGGGGGAGTATAAGGGGGAAGAGCTGGGGGAAGTGACCGGGGGACTGGGAGACAATAGGGGGAGGGGGCTACGTGGTCGGGTGACAGGCGGGGGGCTATGGGCGAGGGAGGAGACGATGGCTGGGGTGAGGGTGAGGGTCTGGGGCTATGGGGAGGGGGTGATGACCGGGCACCGAGGGGGCTTTGGTGCCTGTAGCTGGGCTGGTGTGACAACTTACTCTCTTTTTTTCTGTTTTCTTTTCAGGTCATTAACCAGGTGAGCAGCTTTGTTTCATATAATACCCAGCCCCTTCCCCCTCCACCACACCCTTTACCATCACACCCAACTTCTCTCGCTTCCCTGTAATTAAGGGACCATACCCCCTTCACTGTCCCCAACAAAGCCTCTTTTACCCCCACGCCCTTTTCATAGGGCCTCCTATAGCCCATTTGAGTTTCTGAAGAAGTGCAAACATTTTTTTTCTGTGTGACAGTCCTAAGAGTGCAAGTAAGACAGAGTTTTTTTAAAATGTGGAAGAAGTGAATTAATTATGAGGGTGTTTCCCACTGTTTATACATCAGTGTACATATTTGGGTCCTAATTCTGGGCTTGGTTGGATGTGCACTTCTGTACTCATGTAGAGTCCAAGAGCTCACCCATGTAGATCCAATTACAGAACTGGAGACGTAGTCGTGTTTTGCTCTGAAAAATGTATGTGAAAATGGCATTATTTCAAACAATGTATCTGTACCTTGCTTCTTGTTCAGTCATATTTGCTCATTTTAGTGTCAGAAATAAGTTTTTGGTTTGTCTTTTTACTCTGGTTTCTCTTGTAGAACCAGCACAGCTAAAGTGAGCTCTGTTCTACCTCATGCATCAGTAGAATGACTGGCTATGTTCTGTTTGTAAAGCCACCTGTGTAGCCCTTAGTTTCAGCTGTGAATTCCTTAATAAAAGCAATAGTCTTGGCAAAGGCATCATTTGGTCTGTATACATCTTTTGCTGCTAATGATGGTGTTTGAGCCAGAAAACATAGCTTGACTTTTTCAGACCAGAATCACATTTTTAAAATTAGCGGGATGCTGAAGTACTATTACTCTGTGAAATAATGCATTGTGTGCCCTTAGTTGATCATGTACCTTGCTCTTTATGTGTGTAGAATGTTTATTTTAAGAAATTCCATGATAATGAAATTAATTTGTTGGGAGATGCAGGACAGGGAAGGTGGCTACTAGATCATTTTTTCAGGTTAATTCAGCAGTTTCTATGCCAGTGCTTTCATTTCAGTACAATGACTTGACGAAATTAAAAATAATTTTAAACTAAAATGTCTAAGAGTGTACCACATGTTCTCTGCTTTTCCCCCTATGCTTCTGGAATCTTACAGCTAAATTTATTTCAGATTTTGTAATATATAAACTGGATAGCTGGACTGAATAGTCCTTTTGACATCCAAGTTAAGTATCTGGTTACTTTCCAGTGAGAAAGAAAAAGGTGAAAATAAGACAAAAGAAGCTTGTTATTAATTTTTAACAACTCATAACTATAATAATTAGAAGCAAAAGAGAAACTTACCATGGTATAGCTTGGGACTAACTAACAGTGATAGGATGAAACTGAGGGAAAATTAATGACATTTTTCAAAATGTCAGAATTATGCCATCTTGTATTAAACACTTAATTTGGCTTTTGCACTTAATTTGGCTTTTAAAAAAACTAGCAATGTCTGAAAATGAATTTCTTCCATGTGAAGACTAATGGAGATGCCTGTTTTCCTTTGTAATCAACGGAAGAGCACTCAACTTGAACTTTCTTTTAGGACTTTCAAAATTTAAAATATTGGTGGTATACATAGCTTTGTTTTAAACCACCTTGTTTTTGATTACTTTATAGGCAGGGGAGATCTATGAGCTGTGGATGATGATGGAGGATACATACTTCCCACTTGAAGTGCTCTTCTCCTTTCTCTTAGCTGAGAAGGGAGGTTTACTTGCCATTCAGCTGCTCTTTATTCTAGTTGAAACAGAAATTCATTAAGTAGGGAGGAATAACAAAAACAAGCTACAACTCGAATGTGCCAATCCTATCTTGCATTATTAATCTTGTTAGCTTGTTTTCAGGACTCCTGCTAGATAAATTTCCTTTATTTTTGATGAGTTTTGAGTTGGAATAAGGTGAGAAGGGGGAAAGAAAACTTTCTTTTCAGTATCCGAGTAGCAGCCATGTTAGTCTGTATTTGCAAAAAGAAAAGGAGTACTTGTGGCACCTTAGAGACTAACAAATTTATTAGAGCATAAGCTTTCGTGAGCTACATCACTTCATCGGATGCATTCAGTGGGGAGCTGTATTTTCCACTGAAGAATTTTTGTTGAATTACCACTTTTAGGTCTGTAGTCGAGTGACCAAAGAGATTGAAGTGTTCTCCGACTGGTTTTTGAATGTTATAATTCTTGACGTCTGATTTGTGTCCATTTATTCTTTTATGTAGAGCCTGTCCAGTTTGGCCAATGTACATGGCAGAGGGGCATTGCTGGCACATTATGGCATATATCACATTGGTAGATGTGCAGGTGAACGAGCTTCTGATAGTGTGGCTGATGTGATTAGGCCCCATGATGGTGTCCCCTGAATAGATATGTGGACACAGTTGGCAATGGGCTTTGTTGCAAGGATAGGTTCCTGGGTTAGTGTTGTGTGGTGTGTGGGACGTACTGGCCACCGCTTCCAGCAGCTCCCATTGGCCTGGAGCAGCGAACCGTGGCCACTGGGAGCCGCGATCGGCCAAACCTGCGGACGCGGCAGGTAAACAAACCAGCCTGCCCTGCCAGGGGCTTTCCCTGCACAAGCGGTGGAACAAGTTTGGAAATGACTGACCTAAAGAATAAAGTGTGCTTGCGTAGGAAGTGCTGCATAGTAACTTATATCTGTTGCCAGTCACTCTGTATCTCTGAAGAGACAGCAAACAGGAGTTCTTAGGCAACCTGTTTGTACTGGGAATTATACAGTGAAGCAGGGAACTGTGTAACCTGGGAATACCATGCTAAGAAGGGAGAGAGACATGGGTCTCCACCCAGAAAGACCATGGCTGGGGTCCTGGAAAGTGAGAGTGGGTGTCCTTTCTGAACCACTTGAGAGGAAATACAGGTACAATTGTCCTGAACTGTGGCAAGGGATTTAAGTCTTCAAATATCTAAAGCTTGTTGTAAAGAGGATGGTGATTAATTGTTCTGAGTGTTCACCGAGCATAGGACAAGAAGTAATCAGCTTAATTTGCAGCAACAAAGGTTTAGGTTAGATATTCTGAAAACTTTCTAACCACAAGGTTAGTTAAGCACAGGAACAGGTTATCTAGGGATGTGGTGGAATCCTTGTAATTAGAGGAGTTAAGAATGGGGAGGACTAGGTATGCTTAGTCCTGCCTGAGCGATGAGATGGGGGGATGAATGGACTAGGTGACTGTGACCAGTTCCCTCTGGGGTGCCACCTGGAACTGGGGTATCACTGAGCCCCCTCCCTCCTCCCCCCCCAATCCACCAGTCTGGGCTCCCTCTCACCCTGTGTTGCTGTGATAAATTGTCAAGCTCTCCAAGGTTGCTCTTTCACCAGCATAAACACCGGTAGGGACACACCCAGCTGCAGTACTTACAGGCTCTGTGATCAGCTCTGTAAAGGGAGGCTACAGCTAAGGAACTGCCCAGCTGCTCAAGAGCACCCCCTTCTGGAGTGTAAACCCAAAATTACACTGTCTTGCGCTGCACAAAGACCTGTACAGCATAAGCTCATGAAATTTTCCCCCTCCCTCAATGCGGAAAGGAAATATACAACAGCTTTTTGCCCCAAGTTATGACTCCTACACACCGGTTTGTGATAAAGCAAAAACAAATTTATTAGCTACAAAGGATAGATTTTAAGTTATAAGGGATAGCAAACAGATCAAAGCATATTACCTAGCAAATAAACAAAAACACAATTTCGGCTTAATATAACTAAAGAGATTGGATAGGAGTAGCAAATTCTCTCCCTAATTATTGGTTCAAGGAGGCTGCAGACTCTTAAGGGGAAAGCTGCACTTTCTTGCATCTTAAAAAATCCATAAAAATTCACAGGCTAAAATTCCCTGTTAGCCTGAATCCAGCACTTCCTCTCAGTTCAAGTCCTTGTTCCTCAGGTGTTTCCAAGAGTCTTTTTGGGGCGGGGAGTCAGTGAAGAACCATGATGATGGCACTCCCCTGCCTTAAATAGCTTTTGCATATGGTGGGAACCCTTTGTCTCTAAGCATGGCTCCCATGCCTTTCAGTGCTAAAAACACTGGTATTCCAAGGTGGAGTCCAGTACCAGGTGATCTGGTCACATGCCCCTGTAGTGTCATAGCAGCCATGACTCTGTGGCTGTTTGTAGCATCCTCAGAAAGGCTCCCTGGTGGGAAATTAGCTCCTTAGACCTATTGTTCTTCCTAATAGTCCATTGACTTGAATGGGCCCTTGCCAGCCAGCCAGTAATGTTGTATACAGAGCCTGACAGTCTTTTGCCTAGTGGGCATTCCCCAGGTGTAAACACATTTGTAATAGATATATCGACAATATTCCAAACTTCAGATACCATAATGATACATGCATACAAGTAGGATAATCATATTCAGTAAATCATAACCTTTTCTATGATATCTCAGATTCCTTATCTTGCACAAAATACATCATAATTATTCCATACTTATATCACAATAATATTACTATGAAAAATATGGGGTGTAATGTCACAGTGACCTCTTAAGGTCCCTTCCAGCTACCAGTTCATAGAAATTTAGGGATCTTATTCTAAACTATTGCTATCACCACCACAACTAAAACGTTAGAAAACCTACCACTCTTGGATGAGAACAGCTGGCTCAAGCTGAACCACGGCAAGATGGAAGTGATGCTGTCTAGAAAGGGAAAAAAGTTATCGTCACCTTCCATTGAAGACATGCAGCCCCTGTTCATCAAAGTGGTATGAATGCTAAAGTTCCCGTTTGACTCCTTTCTAAATTTGGATGAGTAGGTAGTATCGGTATCAAAAGTTCTTTCTTTTACCTACAGCTTGCCAGGAAACTTTTCCCGTTCTTTCCAGACAGTGACGTGGCCACAGTGATCCATACATTTGTGACATCCAGGCTGGATTATTGTAATTCTTTGCATCTGAAGCTGAGTGTATATGATACACAGATGACAGCTGATACACAATACAGCTACCCTTCTTATCATAGAATATTGGGGTTGGAAGAGACCTCAGGAGGTCAT